CTAATATCTCGACAAACCAGGAAGCCGAAAGCTCAGCCCAGAACCAAGGAGATATGCCCTTCACATCCCACTCCTGTGAAGTCCACAGCTGTGAAGGTTTTGCCACTTCCCACATCAGCAGCACTAGCTGAGGAGAGTGTTGAGACAGAGACGCCCACAGGGGAGACTAGAGAGCAGGCCATAGCATTTTCTCCTTTCTCAGCTGCTTGCTAGCACTTGTGGTCTTTAATCACCTTAATCAAACTCATAATAACAGGGAGGTATGAGACGATACCTCATTTTTGTTTAGGCTTACATTTCCATGGTTAACTTGTTGAGCACTGTATTCCATATTTATTGGTCATTTTTATATTTTTTTGGAAAAAAATTCTATTTTGCCCTTTGTTCATTTTTAAGAAAAATTTTTTTTGTTTGTAGCTGTTGAACTGTGTGAATTCCTTACACATTTTGGATGTTAAGCAGTTATCAGACACGTGACTTGCAGTGTTCTTATACCTTGAGACTGTCTTCTTATCTTGTTGTTTCTGTTGTAAGGCACCTTTTACTTGACTGTTTTTGACGTTTATTGCTTAAGATTTTGGAGTCATCTGGCTTTCTCAATATCAATACCAAGGAGTTTATTCTCTATGATTTTCCTCCTATACAAGTTTTATATTTTTAGGTCTGAAAAATAAATTCTTAATCTATTTAGGTTGATTATTGTGGATGATAGAAGATAAAGGTCTGTTTTCATTCCTTTGCATGTGGATATTCAGTTTTCCAAAAATTGCTGTCATGGAGATCATCCCTTCAGTGGAGGTCAAATGGACAAGGGTAGAATTTTTGTTCCCTCAAAATCCAAAAATAGTTTTCAACTATTTTCTAAAACTTGGCAAAGATTCAAAGAAATATGACAAGGAGTGTATTTGATTATTCCCCATTAACTATTGGCTCTCTTCTCTGTGCTGAGCACCTTGCTAAGTTCGTGAGTTCAAATGCAAGGTCCACATACCTGAAACAACATCAGTGGTTTACATTTGTATTTAACTTGTGCTGTCTTGAGCAGAAAATTAGCAAGACATTTGGGGGTACCACAGAACTGGAAGTAGTTGTGTTGGTGAGGGGACATTTTTGAGGACAACTTAGAATATTGTGCCAATCTCAAGGAATTCAGCCAGTTTTATTTGTCTCACGGAATGTCTCTGGAAAAGTAACCAAGGTGTTTTTTGTTTTTAATTTTTAGTATGAAAACATTCACTGGAGAGTGAAGACATAGACTCCAATCACTTAAAAGGGTGTTAAAAATACTGAAATGTTTAATATGCTAAGGAATTCTCAGTAAAAAAAGTGTCTCTTGTCGTGTGGTCAATTTAAGAACACAATGTAGTGATAGGAGCGGCCGGGCTGCGTCCCCAGCACCCGGCCGCCCGCATGGCTAGCTTATGCCCAGAAATAATTACACAGAAACTGTATTCTTTTAAACACTGCCTGGCCCGGCTAGGTCCAGCTTCTTATTGGCTAGCTCTTACATATTGTTCTAACCCATTTTTAATATTCTGTGTAGCCCACGAGGTGGCTTACCAGAGAAGATCTTAACCTGCGTCTGTCTGGAGTGGGAGAATCATGGCGACTCCTGACTCAGCTTCTTTCTCCCAGCATTCTCTTCTGTTTACTCCAACCACCTATGTTCTAACCAATAAAATGGGCCAAGGCAGTTTCTTTAGTAAGAAATCACTCCCACATCAACACAAGCAAATGAACAATTGCTCATAGACTTTCTAACTCTCACAATTTTAAGTGTGCAGTGCTATGACATTAAGTCCATTCAAAGTGTTGTACAAGTTGTCACTTTAGGGCTCTGTTTCGTTTTCAAATGGATATTTGAATCTGGTTCAAATCCTCTTTCCACCACCTCTGTGTGCCTAGGACATGATGGCTGCTATACTATGGCTAATGTATGCATCTATGCAGTGCCCATTTCCTGTTCCCTTACCTGGTGCTCAGGTATCATCCTAGCCATCTCTTACACAGGATTGTGCACGTGTCTAGCAGTCACACACATGCCCAGCCACAAATAGAGCCAGCCCGTCTGTGAGAGGGCAATCTCCTTCCCACTCTGCTAGCATTGTTTCCTCTTATATTTGTAACCTCTTTTCTCTCCTTAAATGTCTACTTTTATCAAATTTTTAATTTCTCCTTTTCTTTGAATGTGTACTGTTAAGACTTTGAAAGATATTAGCTAGTAGAGAACATCTTAGATTTTCTCAATATGTGGTACCCTTCAATTTAATTAATATGAACAGTATTTATGTACTGGCAGTTCAAATAGTACTTTGAGATAATAATATATGAGGATCAGAAGAAAAATATTTTTTATTTTGTTCTGAAAAGCTCACAGTAACTAACTAATGGGGCATGTCCCTCTTAGTGACTGTTTCATTCTCATACTCTGAAGTCCCATTAGATTCTTTCATCCTTATTTCTTATTTCCCATTGATTTTCATGTATTGCCATGTATCTCCAAATGTCTTGATAAACCCACCTTTATAAAGCTGTGATGTCAAAATTGGTGCCTCATGGATATTTTATTTTTTTATGTTGAAAATTATTCCGTTTTCCTTTGTGAGTATCTTTGGTGCCATAGAAAACACACAACTGGGCAGTGGTGGTGCACGTTTTTAATCCCAGCACTCAGGAGGTAGAAGCAGGTGGGTCTCCGTGAGTTCGAGGCCAGCCTGGTTTACAAGAGCTAGTTTCCAGGACAGGCTCCAAAGCTACACAGAAATACTGTCTCAGAAGACAAACAAAAAATATGATACACTTGGAGGAATGTTGACTTTATTCAGATACAGAATTTTGCATCAAAGTAAAATGTCAGCTGTCTGGAATGGAGATCGACATACTGAAGTATTATATTTTTAATTTATTAATTTTTTAAAAAATATACCAATCCAAATTTCCACTCCCTCCCTTCCTCCCATTCCCTCCACACACCCTCCCACCCCACTCCTATCCAGTTCTAAGAAAGGGTAAGGTATTTTACTTTGTGGAAGATCCAAGGCCCTCCCCACTACATCCAAGCTCAGCAAGGTATACATCCAAAGAGAATAGGATCCCAAAAAGCCAGTACATGCAGTGGAGATAAATCCTGGTGCCGCTGGCAGTGGCCTCTCAGTCTGCCCCAGCCATGCAACTGTCAATAACATTCAGAGAGACTAGTTTGGTCCTATGCTTGTTCTTTCCTAGTCCAGCTGGAGCTGGCAAGCTCCCATTAGATCAGGTCTACTCTTCAACTGGACCTTGGGAGCTCAGTGCAGTGTTCCGATGTGGGTCTCTGCCTCTGTTTCCTTCTGTTGTAGGACAAAGGGTCTATGGTTATCCAAGATAATCATCAATCTGACCATAGGACAAGTCAAGATCAGGCCCTCTCTCCACTACTGTTTAGGGTCTCAGCCAGGGTCATCCTTGTGGATTCCTGGGAACCTCTCTAGCCATATACCCAAAAGATGCTGAAGTATTATTTTTTAAAACCCCTGATAATGTCCTCTTAAAATTTTTTCAACAGGGGTAATGTAGGGGCACAGAAGGGAAAGGAGTGGGGACTAGAATTGTTCAAAACATATAATAGGTATGTATAAAATTCTCAAACAGTAGAAAAGAATGTCAGCCGACTGATCAGCCCCTCCTTAGTTCTTAGGTAAATTACTTCTCCTGTTCATAGGCCCTAAAATAAACACCAATAACTCCATGTTGAGTGGTGTGTTTTGTTGGTGCTTACCAGTATCTCTATTCTATTACTTTATGCTGTTCTGTCCATTAAATCCTTATTTTTGGATGTTAACTTAGTGCATGGACTTTGCCTAAATATCTAGTGATGAAATGTTTCTGGCATGTAGGTATATGCTAACTCCCAACAGTTAACCCAGAAGCTGCCAGAAGCTAGCTTGTTTTTTAACTGGGGATGCTGTTATGAATACTTTTTGAAGCAGGCTGAGGATTTCACTCTTTGGCATTCTTCAGTTCTTTCTTAACTGATCTAGATGACGGCCCGATTTTCACCACAGGCTTTTTGAAAAATTGTTTTCTCCTTAATTTCCCCTCTTTGTTCATCTCCTCTGACAGCGTGCTTTCCCACATATTTACTTCTCAGCATATTTTAATGGCCAGGCTTATGCACAGGGGACCAATGAGAAGACTGATAAATTGCCAATGAAATTGCCTTCTTTGACCTTGACTACCTTTGGACTGATTGATGATCCTGGACTGAAGATCTACAGACTTTCTCTGGGTATTAAATCAGATTAAAGATGTGTCTTAGACAGTCCAGACTGTTATAACAAACATGCCATTAGATGGGGTGGCTTATAAACAATAGAAATTTATTTCCCAAGCTCAGGATGCTGAAAAGACCAAGGCCATCAATTCAGTGACCGATGAGGTTTGGTTCTGTGTACATAGATGGCTGCTACTTTGCTGTCCTTACATGGCAGAAGGAACAAAGGAACTTCCTGTGTTGCCATTTCTTATGTACAGTAGTCTCAATTTCTTTATTTCTGAGTTTCTTCGTTACAAGCATGCAGTTGTCACCAGTACCCATCATATTGGGTATTGGAATCTCAGCATGTGAATTAGGTAGCGTGGGTAAAGAGTATAAGGCAGGGTCCAAATGAGTCGATTTTATTATTAAGTAAATCTTCATGGTAAATGGTAGAATGTGGGTGTTTTAAACTATATGCTTAAGGATTCTTTGAATGCACAAAATGCTGAGAGTAAAAATAGAACCTAATTTTGACATTTATCACACGTTTTAAAAATGAAGCCTAAGAATTACTTTGAATTTAAAATGTTATTTCTGCATAAGCAAGGTGCGGTGCACAGCAGTCCGTGTCAGCCAGTATGTTTTAGAGCAAGACAAATAAGTTGTTTAACGTCTGATTCGAGTTTCTTCCTCAGACGAAGAAAGACTGACTTATCTGACTGATTTAATCTAATAGAGCTGTTTTTTTTTCTTTTCCTTTCAGATTTTTATTGATCTGATCTGACCTATATTGTGACTTCTGGCTGGAATCAAGGTCAGTGCTTTGCTTGTATTGATCATGGACAAGCTGAAGAGAGCTTTTACAGTGGCTTTTTGACTCTTTAGCTTGATGGTTCGGGATATTCTGGCCAACTGTGGCCAAGAGCAGGCTAGAGTATAAACCATATATATCACGCTCTTGGTTTACGAATAAACATGGTTCTCTGGGCTGTCTATTTTTATAGAAGAATTTCTTTAGTTGTTGAATGTTTACTTCTTTCAACCTACCAGCTAAATTTTGGTTAAATTAAAGCACCCTCGTTTCAGTTCCTTCAAATAATGAAACAAAGTCTGGCTTATATTTTAAAGAATGGTTTGCTTTCTGAATTTATAGGAAAACAAATTTGGTTCCACAGTTGGTCCTCACACAGAATGCATTACCTAAGGAGAACAGAGTTGAAAGTGCATTTGTGAATCACAGACTTTAGTTAATCGCCGCAGTGTTAAGATGTCACTTCTTTTGTTCTGTGCCATTATTGTCCTGTACAGGCCACTCTAAGACAGGTCCCATGAGTGTGGAGTAATAACAGCCTCAGAAGACTCTCACTCGCCTGGTCTTGGGAGTCCATTCATCATCTCCAATGTCTTCTCTAGAAATGAATTCAGAATTAAAAATAAAATGATAAACTAAGCCCTGAAAGCAATGAAGATTTTTGTTGCTCATAAAAATCAGAATACCAGGCACTGCTAAGCTCTGTGCATGGACTTTTTGTTAATGAATAACTTAAAGGAAAACACTGGGTTTTCATTCGTGCTTACATTAACCAGAAATGTTCCTTTTGAACTCCATATTTAACTCTTTAAGCTGAAATGCCTAATATAACAGGCACACGGTAAATATGTACTTTCTCTGGCCACATTTCTGATGTCACTTCCTTATTGCCAGTATATTTATATAGTTTTGAGTTGAATATGCTGGAAATACTTAGTTTAGTCTGGCTTCCTTTTAAATCACTCCATTGTATAGGCTAAATAAGTGTATATATGTATTTAAATATGCTAATTATTATTAGTAATAATTGGATTAACCCTGACAAT